AGCTGCATGAATTGACTTAAATAAAACAGGAACTCTCCTGAAATCTTTGGCTTCTTCTGAGTCTTTATATTGAAATAGTTCATAGGTTTTGGTGAATTTGTTGATATTTTAAACTACTGTCACTTGGTAGGGTACTATAGCCTACCTAATAAGAGCTGTGAGCAGTCCGGAGATTAGCTAACATAGGTAAGAAATGGCTTTATGTAGTTTGAAGTTTTAGGGCATCTCCTAAGTGTTTACAGTTCCTTCTCATTTTCAGTTACTTTTTCACTTCAGGGTTCTAGAAAGAAGCACTGAAAGGAAAGAGCAATTTCTGAAATGTAGTAAGAAAAATAGTTTGTTTTTGAGGATTTTCTAGTTCAATGAGCAGCAGGAAGCACCAGCTTCTTCTCACAGAATCTCTAGTCAAATGTTTAATCTCAGAAGACTCCAGCAGTTTATAGAAACATCCTCAAAGCGATACCAGCTTATCTGAACCAAGGATAAATTCTTGAATTTGATGGTCACTCTGTCAGTTGTAAATACCACAGTTGATCCTTCTGGTGTAGTCCTTGTAACAAATAGGGTGTTAGCACAAGGCCCAGGAGGAGAAGTAAGGAGACAGAGAGTCAAGTGTTGATTTTGCATCCGATTTTCAAGGACACTTGTTCTCTGAGAACACAGTGAAATCTTATTATATTTTCACACCTCTGACTCCAGAAAGAAAATACTAATGACTGACCTTGGTACTCATGCCCCACTCCCCAGAACTAGATCTCATAGAGCACTGTAAACATTTTCAGTGTCCAATAAAAGTGTTGGTGAGTGTTTGTCTTTATTTTTTAGAGAAAGCTTTGTATACATTGAATATATAATAAGAGTGGAAGTATTACACATATTTTTGTTTTATGAAAAAAATGTTTCTGACACTTTAGGATTTCTAAAACCAGTTTTTCCTCAATCTTTCTCATCCTAATGCATTCTTTATAGTACAGCTAATGTCAGGCATAAAACTGTAGCTTGTGTGGCCCTCAGAAAGTGTTTTTATAAAAAATTTGGTTCTATATCATTTCTCCTCCAACAAAAGACAAGATGAAATTTAGGTTTAAATAAAATATGTGAAGGATGTTTTATAAAGCTAAGTAAAATACAAATATAGGGGGCGATAACTGTTGTTAGTTGTTAATAATTATATTTAATCTCAACCCTAATAGGCAGGGAAGATGAGGCTATTCACTCTGTCCTCATCATCCTGAGTTTGGCCCCTGGGACAGCCCTTTTTTCAACCGATCTATTCTATACTTACTTCAGGAGCTGTCTTGGGTGCCATTAAAGATAGGCAAAAAGGGCAATTAGGGGAACAAATAAGGGGAGAACCTAGCAGGAGAGGTAAAGCCAAGAGGAATACCTGGGTGAGTTCCAGCTCCTACAGTTTAGACAGGAACAGACCCTCTTTTTCTCTGTGTTCCTGGCTGAGTTATAAATGACCATCCTGGGAGCCATCTTAAGGGAGGCATGTGAGAATTCTATAGTGAGGGATCTGGGAGAATAAAAAAGCTGAAGAACTTTATTGTTGGGATAGGACTAGTGCGAGAAATGTTCAGAGATGGCCCTCTCTTACAGGATTCCTGCCTGTAATGATCATCTCATGAGAGAGCTCTGCTTTGGAAAGTAATGCGTATGTCTAGTCCTTTGTAGTCTATAAACTATTTTCCATAAGGTGTTTCCATCTCATTTTTTTTTTTTTTGCGTAAAGCAATCTTTAGTCTGGTGAAACAGATTACAGTGCTAAATATTTCAAACAAGGACCTGAAGATCACAGGTCATCTGCAGAGCTTTTACCCAAGGCCATACACCTGGTAAGTAATAGTGCCAAGATATAAAATGAGGCCCTTGATCCAAATCCATGTTTCGTTTCACTTGCCACATGCCTTTTATTGGACAAGCTTATCTATTGTGTTGTTCCAGGATTTTACCCTCCTTTATTACTTTAATAATTGAAAAATGTGTGAAAACAAAAAATTATATATATATTTGTATCCCTCTAATTATAGAACTATTTATCAAGCAAATATTATCTTTATATCCCGGGATCTTTCAACTTTGGTACTACTGACAGTCGGGATTAGATAATTCTTTGTTGTGGGAGGCTGCCCTGTACAGTGGAGAATGTTTAGCGTCCTCTCTGACCTCTGCCAAATACATACCAGTGCCCTCTCCTCCCCTTCATAATCAAATTGTGACCCCAAAATTATTACAGACATTATTGTCTATCACCTGGTTGAGAATGACTGCATTTTCCCTTTATTGCTTTAAAAAGACTACCCTAACTTAGATTCTTTTTCTTGTTTTGAGACATCCTGACCTTGAAAGTAATTGGAGCTCACTTTGAGCCCCCCACCCTAGAGAGTTTCCAGGGGAGGTAGTGGGATTGTGCTTATGTGAAATGGGTGAGACTACCAGTGAGGAGCTCTGAGGTTGAAGGTGTGGTGACTCTGAAATCAGAGACTTACTGCCAGTTTTCCTACTCTACAGGAAGAAGCTAGTGGAGTTTTACATAAAATAAAGTTATAAAATGTTTTATATTTCATAAGGAGGACTTCAAGTCTAGAATCTAAAAGTTACATTGACCATTTATAATAAAACATCTGGTTCCATCTGAAATTCTTACTGTATCCTGCAGTATTTGAAACCTATATAGAACTTAGTAAGTGTTCATTAATATGCTTCTTTAATGTAATCTCATATTATTTAAATATTTTGGGTCTATACCTCACAAGTAATCCATAAAATCTTCTTGATGGTAGAGACAGTTTCTCTTTGTTAAGCTCCCAGCCATGCTAGTGTGGTATTGTGTGCATCCCTGCGAGAAATTTTCCTGCATTGAAGGGAAGGATCAATGTTTCCACTCTCAGAGTTATGCACACACATACACAGGCAGTAGGCCTGGGAATTCCCATGAACTCTTGGTTACCTATTTTTTTTAGTAATTTAATTTTCAGATTCTGGAGGAGAATGTTCCTCTGTATAGTTTAGGGAACAGCATCTTTTTCTGCCCCCCAAGTAAAACAAAGTAATATATCTCATTGGGTCAAGAAAGGGAATAAAAATGATTAAATACCCTCTCTTATTGCTGAAACCTTAGCAAAAAGATGACTATAAAATAGGACCTCACCTGTAGGATGCTGATCACTCTCCTTTTGTTCACCCACTTGTGCCATTTCTGTAGTCTCTGGAACATTAGAACAACTGACATTTCTTATGATTAGGCAGGGGACCAAAAACAATTATATTTGAGTACTGTATCTGATTGGGACTAAAAAGCATATAAATCCTTATGATTGGTTTCTTTCTCTTGGTATACTGAATTTTCTATCTAATTTCCAGAAAAGTAAAGTGTGATATAGTGTGTGGGTGGGAGGGGAAATTTCCAAGTTTAGGAGAATATGTTTTATGAACATCTTTTATATTTATGTATAAGTGCAGCTAGTGTTAACATGAAGAATTTATACAATTTATATAACTTTTGAATATTTCTTGTATGTACTCTTATCTGTTCCCTATAACTTTGTGAAGAATTTATTATTTCTTAAAACATGTTCTCATGGCTCCTTTTCTGGGTGAAATTCAGATGAAATTAGGCATTGATGATCCCATCTATGATTTCATCCCATCACCTGTATTGACAGATACCTGTTTCACCTATTCATTTATTCAGTAAACAACCCAAGACTACCTTGTGAAAGCTTGAGGGAATACTAATATGAGTTGGACAAGGTCCCTTTTCTCAAGTCAGTTGAAGATGTTGAGTCATGAAAGGGGTAGTCTGCCATCGTTCACCAAGTAGGCCTAATCAGACTGGGGGCTCACAAAAGACTTTTTAGAAAGATTATGTCTCAGCTATGTAACGAATATGGGGCATCCTCAACACAGTAATGAGTTAGAAGAAAGTGATTCTAAGTAAATTAGAGTATGTATGAAACCCATCAAGAGAAGACATGTTTCTAGCTCATGGAACCAAGAACAGATACGTAGAACTAGAGTATTAGATATGAGAAAGAAATATCTAGCAAGATTGGATTCAGTCATGAACTTTTCCTTATGTTGAAGATTGTGGGTTTTATATGACAGGTAGGATTGCTGAAAAAGTTGGAAGCAGCGTATAAAATTGTCAGATTTTTAAATTTAAATTCTTGAAACAGCCTAAAGACAGCTTTAGAAAACAGCAAGAAAGGCAGAGTGTTACAGCGATGAGGTCTGAGAATAATCACCCAAAAGGTGGTTATTACCTGCTCCTAAAGAAGGCAGAGGAAAGTGAGGAGGAGGGCCGAGACCTTACTTAGGATATTGACTCACATCTTAAAAGGAGAAGGGCACTTCATCTATTTCAATTAGAGGGGAGGCAAGTCCTCTGCTAGTCTCCTGAGATGTGAAGGAGAGCATGATGAATGGAGGACAGCCTCTGGGTGAAATAGCTACCAAGGAGCAAGCTCTAAGGAGGTGTCCACTGAGCATCCTCTGGGCAGGTAGGAAAAGGCACTGCACTGAAACGTGTGCACGCTGAGGGCACAGCATACAGCTACTATAAATAAACTTAAAAGGCATAAAAAGTTCTACTGTATAGCTTGCTTTGATGATTAATATAAACACAAACTTTTTTGGAGTTCTTCCTGTAAATTACTTTTTTGGTCAATCCCTTAGGAAAAACTGAGATAGATCAGACAGAATCTATTTCAAATTTTCAAGCTTCTAATTTCTTATCTATAATGTTGTAAGAATTTTACCCATTTACTTGGTGATAATTAAAAGATGATTAAAATAAATCATGTAGAATAATACTTGGCAAATAATAATAGCCTAATATATAATAGCCACTAGAATGCTATTACTACTGACAACCATCACCACCACCTCAGAAGTACACAGATTACATTTTACCAAGCCTGGGGTGCATTTTGAATTCTGACTTCTATGAGAAATTGGAAATCATGCAACTTGATCATTGTTTTTTCTAATCCCAGGTAACCATGCAGCATATAAAGAGCAAGAAGATCTTAGATTTTGTAGCAAATGCATGGCTGTCTCAGATCCAAGCAGATGGAGATCTTGTTTGTGAGCTTCCTGTAATCAAAGAAGGACAACCTGTTTTTCCCGGTATATTGCTAAAGTTCACATATGTATCTTATTTAAACTGTCTTGTAGCTGCTTGAACTTATTTCTGAGCTATTCACTTGCAGAATACTGTTTCCTGCTTCTAAGGGAGTTGTTTCACCCATTGAGTGTAAGATCTGACTGAGGTGTGGTTGAGACCACTGAGGCAGGCAGAGTTCAAGCGAGAGTTTTTAGTTGTCTGAGTGCAGATGGACCAAGGGCAGAAAGGCTGTTGGCACTGAGAAGAGGGTGTGTGGATTGATATGGGGGAATTTAGGTAGGGGATGGGGCACTGGTCAAGAGGGTGGAAATATTAGGGTCCCATGGGTGAAGGGCCTGGGGCTGGCTCATAAACAGGCCGGTGGTAGGAGCAGTAGGAAGGCTGCTGCTTTTCTGTTATTGCTATGCTCCTGTGGATGCAGGTAGCCTGTCTGCTTGGGGGGTGTTCCCTTCTGGTTGGGCAGGGGTCCAACTTGGGCGACCTGTCATTGAGAAGTGACTTTTTCATTGTCACAGCATGAATAATTGGTGGATTTGGGTTTAAGCATATTTCAAAATGGGTCTTATGGTCCAGCTGCCATCATAGAGACTGAGGCTGTGAGAGCTAAGAAATGTCACAGCCTTCTCTCATCTGGCTTTGTTGAGGATTAGCCGGGAACCTCATGTCATCACTTAATTTGAATTTATTTACTCATCAAAACTTGCATTAATCTGCTGCGCAATAGCAAGGACCCGAGTTCAATCCCTGGTACCAAAAAAAAAAAAAGAAACTTGCATTATTTTGAACTTTAAACATTATATACTATAACATTTTTACCTCATCTGTAAAATACTAAGCATAAAATGTCCTATGTTATATGTAGAAGAAGAGCCTTTCAAAGAATATTTTATTTCTCCTTTGGATAAAGTTATATACATACTGTGTGTGTGCTAATGACGTAACAATGCTCATTTATAGTTAAATATAGTTATAGTTAAAATCCAAAGGCCAGAAGTCTCTTGATATATGCAGAAAGTCCAGATTTGAGGAAATTTCATATATCACATTTTTTACTATAGCCCAAGAACACATGGATCTGGCTTCTATTCATGTGAACAGTGAAGTAACAGATTTCCTTTTGCTTTCTCTCCATCTTGCTTTGCCAGTAGTGAGATACCATGTTGATGTCTACACTGGACAGCTGAAACGAGCAGAAACAGACTCAGAGGTCTCTCTCTGTCTCTATGGGGAGAGGGGAGATTCTGGCCTTAGGTTGCTGCACAAATCTAACATGCCAGTAAGATTCCGAAGAGGACAGGTAAGTCTGTGTAAGGGACTCTTCAGGTTCAACCTCTCTAATGATAGCCACATGTGATTTAAAATCTAAAAGGTGCCTGACATTCTTCAAGTTCTAGTTTTGGAACATCTTTAACATAAGTTTCCCGAGCTGACTTCATAATATTTTTAGTTTTAGAAGTTGTTCTTAAAAGAAAAATGAGACATGCTAAAACCTATAATGAATAATAGAACAAAGAAAAAGGCATTAAAAATTAGTGCTAGTGTAAGGAAAAGAACTAACTGTGTCAAAAAGATAGCGGAGAAAATGTATATGAGCATGCTCTGTCAGGACTGACAACTGCAAAGTATTTTATTCTAAAATGTCAGGCCATACAAAGAACTTTATAAGGTATTTCTTAAAACAATACCATGGCTATTTTTATAGCATCCCCAAATTGACTCTATTATGTTTATATTCAAAATTCCTCATTATTCTCTTTTATCTTTTTCATATAAATATGATTTTTCTATATATAATATATTTGAGAAGTTACAATGAGATATCTATTAACCCAGTTAATTTTTAATGTTACTTTAGTGTATATGGAAGGAAAGTACTACTTGAGGGTCTGAAATTAAGGATTGGGGAGTTGTTGATTAAAGATAAAGTTTTAAAGAAGAGGACTCCTTAAACTAGTTTGAGAATACTGTTTCTCAGATTTGTAAGTGTTGTTTGTTAAAGATATTAAAGATCACCTAGGCATTTTATTTGTCACTGTAGATTACATCGAAGCTTTCATTAGAATGAATAGGAAAGGGAGTTCTGCTTTGGATGAGACAAAAAAATTATGCCTAGTTTTTCCTTTTACAAGTGTTATAGTTTAGATTGTGAAAGTCTCCAAAATGTCTCATGTGTCCATAGGTGGGGCTTTTGGATCGTAGGAGCACTATAATCACCAGTGGGTTTATCCATTGATGAGTTCCATACCTGAATGTGCTGTTAGAGGGTAGGGCCTGGTTAAAAGTGAATCGTTGAGGATGTGGCTTAGAAGGATGTATTCTTGTCCCTGGCTCCTTCCTTCTCTCTCTGCTTCCTGGCTGCCATGGACTGAGAGCACGTTTCCTCTACAGTGCCCTGCTGCTATGCTGTTCCTGCTTTGGAGCCAACCAACCATGGAGTGAGTCCTCTAAAAACCATGAGCCAAAATAAACCTATCCTCCTTAAAGTTATGGGTGTCGGATATTTTATCTCAGCTATGTGAAAGTGATTAATACAGATTAGAATCACAGAAGTGATCATTGCTGTGACTGTACCTGACTGGTTTAGAAGCCTTTGGAACTGGTTGCAGGAAGAGTTTGGAAAGCTTTTGAGATGCCAGATGGAGAACCCCTGGAAGGCTATACACAGAAGTTTGATCGGTAATTCTGGGTGGAGTTCAGAAATGCTGATAGAAATGTGGATGATAAAGGTCAAGCTCCTGAGGTATTAGTTTGGAACAAGGATTCCATTGATGGTTGGACTTGAGACCATATGTGTTATCCTCTGGCAGAAAATGTGTCCTTGTTTTGCCCATGTCCTGAGACTTTGCCTTGACTGAGAATAAGAGTGGTGGGTTAATTAATCTGGTGGGGAAAATTTCAGGACAACCCAATCATTAAGGCTGTGGCCTGAGCACTACTGGCTACTTTTAGTCAGATTTATAGTGAGAATCAGGGACAAAAGGAAGAGCAGAAATAATTGAAAAACTTCAACTTGGAGCTATAAAGAACTATATGCAAATATGGGGCCAAAAGAGATGTGGCTGCTGAAAAGATTAGTACTGTTTATTATTAGAAAGGAACCTGCACTTTGTGCAAGGACAAGAAGAAAGGTTCCTTAAGGGCATCTAAAGACTAGAGGAGACCCACCCATCACAGGTTTCAGGGTGGAAAAGGATAAATTCCTTTGAAAGACTGCTTTAGAAGAGAGGCCCAGGGTGCCCTGCTTATTCAGGACCTCTTAGGAAAATGTTTCCCTGAGTTCAGCTTTACAGGCACTCAGAGGCCACTAATGCTGTGGTACAAAAACATCAGGTCACTGCTTGAGATACCAGCAGACTTTGGTGTCATCCATGTAGTGCTGAGTTTTCAGACATGCATAATGCAGGAGTAGCAGGGTCATGGAGGCTTATACCCTGATTTCAAAGTAAGGCCTGGGAAGCCAAGCAATGTACCTGTTAGAGGGTGATGCCTAAAGCTGTTAAGATGAAAGCTGAAGGTGTAGTGGAAACTCTAGGAAGTTGGAATTGACAGGTGCATGGATCCTCTTTGCTGAGGAAAGCTGCAGGGTATGAGTACAGCCAATTCAAGAGAGAGGCCACATGGGCTGCTACCAGCAAGGTTAAAGGCTTAGGGATGCTCGTACCTTCTGTAACTTACATCTCATGGCCATATGCCTTGGATGCCAGATATGGAGCTACAGAATTTAATGTTTACTTTGCTGTGTTTTGGTCCTCCTTTGGTCTGATTCCTTTTTATCTCCCTATTCCTTCCTTTTGGAATAGAAATGTTTATCTTGTGCCATTGTATGGAAGTATTTAGCTTCTTTTTATTTTTACAGAGACTCAAGATTTGCCTTGAATCTCAGAGAGACTTTGTATTTGAATTTTTCAGTACTGCTGAAACAGGCAACTTTTAGAGATAGACTAAATACATTTTATATAATGAGAGGGACATGAGCCTTTTTGGAGCCAGGGGAAGTATACAGTTTATATCTTGAATGTTTCCCGCAAGTCTCATGTGTTCAGAGGTGGGGATTTTGAAAGGTAATTGGAACACGGGGCACTATCTTCATCAGTGGATTCATCCATTCATGAGTTCAATAACTGAATGTGCTTTTAGGAGATAAGGAGCTGTGCTACTTGGGAGTGTGACCTAGTAGAGTGTATTCTTGTCCCCTGCTCCTCCCTTCTTTATCTGCTCCCTGGCTTCCACTGATCCAGCACCTTTCCTTTGCCATGCTGTTCTGCCATGTATTTCTTTCTTGGAGCCAACCAACCATGGACTGAATCCTCTAAGAACCATGAGCTGAAATTAACCTCTCCTCCTTTAAGGTGAGGGTGTCAGGCATTTTGTACTAGTGTTAACAAAATGACTAATACTAGAGCAGAAATAAAATTTTATATACCACGTTATTATTGATTATCTATGGGATCAGTGATATTATTCTCTGAAGAACCCTACTAACTTTGCATGGACCCGACTCCTCCCTCCCACTTTATGATAAATAGTGAAGGCTCCATCACTCCTGGTTGTCTGCTAGTTGTTCTGCCAGCATGCAGCATTTTACAGCAGTGTTGCATCATGTGAAGTTATTAGGATGACATGCTAAGATTTTCTGTCATTTTCATGATTGATTTTCTTTAGTTCATCATTATGTATATCATTCAACAGATAATAGACTGAAATTAAAATTGAGTAGGAGCTATAGTTGCAGTGAGTGTATAAAGAAGACCAGAAGTGTGAATTTAATGGTTTTAGTGTGAAAGTTTAGAATTAGAGATATAAAAGTGCTTTTCCCTCCTGGTTCCTTTTAGATTTTACATTATTAAGTTATTTTCCTCATTGTGTGGAACATAATGGAATCGTCACATAATCTCAAGAGGTTTGTAGTCAAGAAACTGGTAACCTTGGAATTTTATGATCAGAATTACTCTATACCAGCCACTACTCACCTCCTAAATCGCTGATTGGGCTGGTTGTTGTTATTTTCTCTACACAGTGTCTAGTGGTATAATTAAAAGCAGCAACATACTAACAGACCCTGTTTAAATTCTGTCTTCAAACTTAAAGTTAGTTTAAGAAACAAAAAAGGTATTGTGCAGTAGTTTAGGTTTGCCCCAAAGATGGCCATGAGAGAAAAATTTAGATATAGGTAATTTATCTAGAAATGACCTATTTAAACCCCTAGGAATTGAAGGAGTGGGAACACTGAGGCAAGAAAGGGAGAGAAACCAATACACGCAATCCTTGTTTAAATTCTGAGTTCTGTTCGTGCAACTGGGTCGTTAAATGAATTGATTGCTATATGAGGAATAGTATATAGTATGGATATTACAATATTCAGAACAAAGAAATGGTCAAAGGAAACTCCAACTTGATGGCTTTGCTTTTATTTGCATAACTCTTACATGCAGCACTGTAGTGTGTAACAGAACACAAAACTATAGTGTACCATGTAGTACAATTGGCAAAAATTACAGTACTACGTAAACAACATGTACTTTACCAAAGAAAAAGACATTGCAGTTCTGTAAACAACATGTACAGAACTGTACCAAAAAACAAGACAGATTATAAATCCAAACAGTGAGCTTGGTGATAAATCTGTACAGTTGTTAAACAGGTAAGCTGTTACACAAGAAATATCTGTAAAGGATAATAGTGAGCTGCTTATTGCTGGGGTACCTTCTTGCTAAGGATCTTCAGAGAAATGCTATTAACCATCCCTCAGAATTGTCCCACCATGTGAAACCTAGGCAAAGAAGCAAGAGACACAGGGCTTTGAGGTAGGAAATAGTCAGCATACCTAAACTATCTACTGTAGCAGCAAATGAACCCAGGAATGGTTCTAGAGGACATGGGACAGAGCATCAGCAGCATTTGCAACAAACGGTGATGTGCATCATGAAATGTCCTCTTATAAGGACAGCCCAGGGATGCAGGATCGTGAGAATGAGATTATCAAAGTAAATTCAGTAAAATGCACAAACAATATTTATCTGGCTTACAAAAACACCATCATTGGAGTAGTAATGGTTTTAGTCTTGCCTAGACAAGAGATGTATGAAAGAATTCTCTTTATTCTGATCAGCATAGCATTTCCTTCAGGCCCTCTATCTCTCTCGAAATGTTAGTGCATTTTTGACATGAAAAACAAATTCTATTTATTTTTTAAAAATGTATATGTTTTCAATAAATAATATTTACTTTCATTTGGAGGAACTGATAGACAGATAGATATAATTTTGATCATTTTCAAGCCCCTTCTTCATCTCATACTCTTACCTTCCCTTCATCCCTTTCCCCATCTCCAAAGGCTACCTTTATTTTATTCTTTAATTTACATTTTGGTTTTCTCAAATAAGACAAACCATGGCAAATTTAACTTCATGTGTCTGACTTATTTAATATTATAGTCACAATAAAGATGTAAAAGCAGCAAATAAACATATGAAAAAATGTTCAACATCACTGGTCATTTGAGAGATGCAGATGAAAACAACACTGAGATTTCACCTCACTGTAGGAACAACAGCTGCTATCAAGAAATTAACCAATACCAAACGTTGGCGGGGGTGTGGGGAGAAAGGAACCCTTCTCCATTGTTGGTGGGAGTGCAGACTGGTGCAATCACTGTGGAAATCAGTATGGAGATACCTCAAAGAACTAGGGGTAGAGGTCCCATTTGACCAGGCTATCCCCCTGCTGGGTATTTTCCCAAAAGAATTAAAAGAATCATACCACAGCGATATATGTGCACCCATGTTTATAGAAGCACAGTTTGTAATAGCTAAAGTTTGGGAACAACCCAAGTGCCCATCAACTGGACACTGGATAAAGAAGATGTGGATTTTTTTTTTATAAAATGGAGTACTACTCAGCCATAAAGAATGACAAGCTAGAGACATATATAGCTAAGAGGATGCATATTGAGGTCATACTCTTAAGTGAAATAAATAGGACACACGTGTAAATATTGAATAGTTTCTCTGGTGTGAGAAACTGAAAGTGTAAATAAGGATTAAAATGATTAAAATGAATAATTGATAATTTGAAATAGGAAGAAAGGGTCCAAAGGGGTAAAAGTGGGAGAGGAAGGGGAAAGGAAAGAAGAGAAAGGGAAAATTATAAGAAAAGGAAAAAATGGAAACAAAATCTTTGTAAATAGGGAAAGATGGAGGGGGTGAAGGGAGCACAGGGAATGGGGAAAGAATAAGAACCAAGATTCATCATGTACAGGTACAAGTACCCAATGATAAATGTAAATGTATTGTTTACCTAATGTACCAATAAAAGAATTTAAAGAAAAAAATATTATAGTCTCAAGATCCATTCACTTTCCTGCAAATGTCATGAATTCATTCTTCTTTATGGCTGAATAAAATTCCATTGTGTATACTTCCAACATTTTTTTATCCATTTGTCCATTGATGGGCATCTGTTTCAGAGCTTAGCTATGTGAATCGGGCTGCTATAAACATGGATATGCATGTATCACTATGGTATGAAAATCTTTAATTCTTTTGGGCAATACAGGAGAGATGCAGTTGGATCAAATGGAACTTCTATTTTTAGCTTTTTGAGGACTAGCCATGCTGATTTCCGTAATGGTTGAACTATTTTACATTCCAACAAGGTAGAAGTTCCTTTTTGCCTTCATCCTTGCTAGCATTTGTAGGTTTTTTGTGTTCTTGATCAAAGACATTCTGATTGGAATAAGATGGAACCTCAAAGTTGTTTTCATATGCATTTTCATAATGGCCAAAGATGATGAACTTTTTTTCTTATTGGCCATTTTTACTTCTTCTTTAAAGAAGTGTTTATTCAGTTTATGTGCCCACTTTTTCATTGGGTTATTTTGGAAGGGGTTAATTTTTTGAGTTCTTTGTGTACTCTGGATATTGATTCTCTTATCAAAAGAATAGCTGGCAAAAATTTTTTTCAACTGTGTAGGCTGTATCTTCACTCTGGTTATTCTTTCCTTTGCTGTGCAGAAGCTTTTTAATTTAATCTGATGTATTGATTCTTGGTATTATTTGTTATACTATTGGCATTCTGTTCTGGAAATCCTTGCCTATGCCTATGGCTTCAGGCATTTTCTCTATGTTATCTTCAAGCAGGTTTAGTTTCTGGTCCTATATCTGTGTCTTTGGCTCATTTTTATTTGATTTTTCAGTATAAGTTGAGAAATATGTAATCTAGTTGCATTGTTCACAGTTTTTCCAACACAGTTTGTTGAAGAGGCTATCTTTTCTCCAAGGTATATTTTTAGCTCCTTGTAAAAAACTCAGGCTGCTGAGGGTGCAGGGCATTGTTTCTATATCTTCCATTGTATTCCATTGGTCTCTGTGTCTATTTTTGTGCCAATACCATATGGTTTTTGTCACTATAGCTTTGTAGTATCATGTGAAATTAGGAATTGTAATCCTTTCTGCTTCTTTTTGCTCAAGATTGCTTTGGGTATTTTGGATCTTCTCTGGTTCTGTGTAAATTTTAGAATTTTTTTCTAGTTTTGTGAAGAATGCTGTTGATAGATATATTGATAGGAATTGTATTAATTCTATTTTTAATCACTTTTGGTAATATAGACATTTTGGTGTTATTGATTCTATCCATCCAGAAACAGGGAATGTCTTCCATTTTCTAATGTACCCTTCAATCTCTTTGTTCACATTTCTATAGTTTTCATTATAGAAACTTTTTACCTCTTTGGTTAGGTTGATTCCTTTGTCTTAATATTTTTGAAACTATGGGATTGTCTTCCTGACTTCATTATCATTGGGTTCATTTTTGGTATACAGGAATATTATTGATCTTTATGTGCTGATTTTGGATCCTGTCACTTTATTGAATATGCTTATCAGCTATAAGAGTCTTCTGGTGGAGGTTCTTTGGTCTATATTGTAAGGGATCATATCATCTATAAATAGAGATAATTTAACTTCTTCCTTTCCTTTTCTTATCCCCTTTCTTTCTTTCTCTTGTCTGAGCACTCTTACTAGAGCTTCAAATACTATATTGAAGAGAACTAGTGAGAGTGGAAACCCTTTTTTCATTCCATTTTAGAAAGAATGTTCTCAGTTTTTCCCTATTTAGTATGGTGTTTGCTGTGGGTTTGTCATAAATGCCTTTTATTAGTTTGAGGGAAGAGCCTTCTATACCTATTTTCATCATGGTTCTTATCATAAGTGGATGTTGGATTTTGTGTCTTTTGAGATAATCATTTGATTTTCATTCTTGATTTTATTTTTTTGTATGTGTTGTATTTACATTTATTGATTTATATGTGTTGCACCATCCTTGAATTCCAGGGATAAAGCAACTTGGTCATGATGTAGGATATTTTTAATGACTTGTTGCATTCTGTCTGCAAGTATTTTATTGAGGATTTTTGTATCGATGTTCTTCAAGGAGAGTGCCTTATAGTTTGTCTTGCTGTCTGTCTGTCTGGGTCTCTCTCTCTCTCCCCCCCCCTTCCTTCCTTCCTTCGTTTCCTTCCTTCCTTTTTTTTTGAGTACTTGTCTATATTTTGGTATCAGGGTACTGGTGGCTTCATAGAATTGAGTTTTGCAGTGTTCTTTCCTGTTCAGTTTCATCTGAGAGTTAGAGGAATACTGACATTAATTCCCTGATTATTCCTATAAAATTCAGCAATCGATCCACTGGGCTCTGGGCTTTTTTTTTTTTTTTTCAGTTGCTGGAGTTTCTATTACTGCATCAATTTTATTGCCAGTTATTTGTCAATTTAGAGCTTTTGTATCTTCTTGGTTCAATTTTGTATGTCGTATATGTCTGGGAATTTACCCATTTCTTCCAGATTGTCCAATTTATTGGAATATAAAATTTTAAAATAGTGACTTATAATCCTCTGGATTTCAGTAATGTCTTTTGTAATTTTCTCTTTTTCATTTGTATTTATATTGGGTGTTTTCTTTTTCTTTTGGTTTTTTTTTTTGGCTAAAAATTTATCAGTTTTATTCTTTCAAAGAACCAACTCTTTGTTCTCTTCTTGGTGAATTGTACTGATACCTACTCATCCTATTCAGAGTAAGATCTGTCCCTAGTAGTGTGGCTGTCACTGGTAATAACAGTATACAAAGAGATAATCATATACTGTATCAACATACAAAACTTATTTAAATAGTTTTCAACTTTTTTAATAGCTCAGGAAGATAAGAGAATAGTATGCTATAGATATGCTGGGAATTAGGAGAAGTAAGAAAAAGAAAAATGAAAGACAGGGAAGGAAAAAGCCCCAGAAAACAAAGAGAATGTGAGAAAGAAGAAAAAGTAGGTTTTCATAATAGATGATATTTTTATGCCCAGGAAGAAAGGGGGAAGGAGTTTGAGAGGTTATGTGTAGGGGTGGGAAGAAAAAAAGAGGGAGAAAGAAAGAAAGAAAGAAAGGGAAAGAGAGAGAAAAGTAACTTGAGAAGCTAACCAAATATTATTAGGTAATTATGAACTTGTTTAGAAAGATCTCTATTATTTCGCTATCCAGGAAAATTCAAGGAAAGAAGTATAATATAGTAGGGTGCAGAAAATTAAATATTAATGATATTCAGATTAATGCTAATAGTGTACAGTAAGAGCAGCAGAAAGGATATAAAGCAAAAAACATAAAAGAAAAAGAAAAATAGGACAAGAGTGAATGCCATAGATCACGTGAGTGTATTTTCTCTAGACCCCTATAATGAAATTCTATTTATTTAGGAATGTGGATTACAGAATTTCACAACTAATTGAAGAATGTGGTCTATTTTCATATTCAGATGAAAATGAGGAAAAGGATTTCTGGAAGAAAAGGAGGAGGGAAAATGAGAAAAAAATGTCTTTTATGCATCAAAGTATGTCAGTATTTGTGGAAAGGACATATTCTACCTTTAAACCTGTGGTTGTCAACCTGCCTCTTACTGAACTGCTTCTAAGGGGCAAGGGTCGAAGTGAAAGGAAAGCAGCAGACGGAAAGCTTTGGTGTTGGGTGTGTTTGTTTTTTCCACACTGGAGATACTAGAATAGAATAAAGCAAAATTGCAAGAGCGAAAACACAGTCAAAACATATTTTAATAGATGAAAAGTAATTTACTTATTTTTCTTCCTTTATTGCCTCATTTGGTGTAGCCTGGGGCTATTATTATTGCCAGCATTTGTTATTTGCTGGACTTTCACTATTACTGTGAGATTTTTCTGTCTCCTGCACCAGATTGATAAATTTGAAGTAGAAGCAGTGTCACTTGGAAAACTGCAGAAGGCGCTGTTGCACTGTGAGGCCAGTGATGAATCACAGTACTGGTACTGTGAAAAGGTTGTAGTCAGAGAGCCCAGCACAGGCTCAGAGTCCACCTTCACCTGTGAAAGGTAAGGCAGGTTTGTGTGGTGCTGCAGAGGAGTGTGTTACACTGTGGATGACACTGTGTGAGCATGAGCGTGTGTGTGTGTGTGTGTGTGTGTGTGTGTGTGTGAATGGTGTGTTGTAGGTTAAGGATTTGTGTCATTTACTCAGGACTGCACATCATAAAAGAAGCGTCATGTGTCATTGGTTGTGTGTTTAAGAAAATAATCATTTGCTAAGCATCTTAAGAAAATCTTACCTTGTAATATCTTATTACCAAAATATTCTATTACCAAAAAGCCAAAAAGGTCAAAAGTTGAATATTGCAAATTATTACATAGAGAAAATATTTTATAAATTTTGGCTTCTTTAAGTTACTAAAATTGTAGTGTAACAACAATTTCATAAAGAGATTGGGAGTGGAGAATTTTAGCTACAGATTTAGCTCAGTGGTGCCGCACCTGCCTGGCAAGTGCAAGGTCCTGAGTTCAATTCCCATTAACCCCCTCCCCCCGCAAAAAAAGAGTGGAGAATTTTAGAAAGAGCTTGAGCACAGAAAGTGTGGAAGACAAAGATTCCAATCTAGACAAGTTGTAGTTTTCTTTGAGCCCCATGAGGTAAATTCCAGAAGAAACTCCCTCCATTTCTGTCTTGCCCCTGCCCTGCCCCGCTTTTATGTATGAGTCCCAGATCTCACAGATTTTCCCTTCTTGAAATCTCACCATCGGATATTCAACACCTTCTTGCTTAGATCAGTGGCACTTATTTGCATAGAAAAAGCTTTGCTCTCCACTTCTTTGCTGAGCTCTGTTATCTGAAGAAAACGCCTATCTTTGGCTGCATGGGCACTTTATTATTTTTGCTTAGTCTCTCAATTACAGGAAGGAAGCCAGGTCCCAGACTCATGAATGGGATTGAGTATGAATAGTTGCTCATTAAACCCTATCTATTGTAGACATGGGGGTGAGAAACTTGGGCTTTATTTGTCAGTGTTGGGAGATGCCGTACAGCCTTTTGTCCAGATGGATTATCAACAGGAAGTGAAGCAAAAAATAAATTAAGCAAAACAAAAGCATTGGGAAATCTAAGGGTGTGGATTTGGAAATCCAACCAGAAATGATTTCTCTTTTCTCCTGGTGGTGGTGGTTACTCAGTGCTTTGCATATCACAAGCCTCCCTGTCTGATGAGAGGCAGAGCACTGAAGAGGCCTTGGATGTCCCTTTCCAGCCTGTTCTCACCCCCAGCGTCCCAAGCAGCCCAAGAGCTAGGTGGTAGCCGAATATTATTCCCCACCTCTGTTCATCACTTGAGAATGCCTCATCCAGGGCTTTCTTCATTCTGCTATACTTTGTCACATCAACTTAGTTTATTTCTTTTAAATATGAAATATACTGGAGGGTTCTCTAGATTTATGCACTGTCACCGTTACTGCCTGCACACCAGTTCAGCCTCCATCACCATTACCCCACTGCCTTTACCTGTCTATCTTTGCTACCTTATTTCTTATCACGAGGCTAACATGATCCTGTCTGGAAGGAAGAGACATAGTGATAGCATAATTAGTGCCAATGGATTGCATCTGAAAAACTTTACAAAATAATATTAAATGGCCAAGAATAATAGGCCAAAATGTACCATCCTGGCTATCAAATGCTAATATTTGATGCCCTGCACAAGGTGGGTCCTGAATAAGTAGTAGGCAGTGCTCATTCATATAATATTCTGATGAAGAAAGCAGTTACAAAATCTCATTCCTTCCTATTCTGTGGATATAAAGAGAGTATATAGATCCTACTTCCTTAATTCTTAAAGAAATAAAAGAGTGTGACTGCAGGAATGAAACAGGAGCATAGCAGCTTCCTTTTTACTGCAGAAAAGCCTACTCTGAAGCTACTTACAATGCCTTCTTTGTGCCTAAAGCCTTCTGTCTGAATGCATAAGTTCAATGATAGCATCCTCTAAGGCAGGTAGAGTCTGGAAGGCTGCACCCAGGAGGAGAAAAGAGACCTTGTAGCTGCGTGCAGGAGCTTGTCTGGGCATTCTCCTTGCAGTCTGGGGACCGGGGGCTGTGCAGCCAGAGATGTGAGTAATTTGTCTGAGATGCAGGGGGCAGAAATGCCTAGGTGGCCATATTCTAGAAAGGAAAAGGAAAGATAATCTTGGTCATGCTCCTTAGAGCTTCCTCAAAAGCAAGAATTTACAGTACATCTGAGTTAGGGTGCAAAGACCACTTCATATGTGTTCTTTTATGAGCTCAGGGAGGAATGGCTGGGTGAAAAAGACAGCAGAGCTCTGGAGGAGGGTGCTTCTGTGTACCACAGATGCTTCCTGCAAGCTTCCACATCCTCCTCCTTTCCCCTCTTTCAGTGAACACCCACATCCTTATGGTTTTATTTTATTTCTATACCTGAAAATACTATTTTTCTGCCTTTATAGATAAGAGTATACATCACTGAATTTCTGACATTTACACAGAAGGCTTAGCTATTTGAAGTTTAGCAATGAAAATTTATAGTTGAATAAGGTCAACATTCAAATAAATTTACAAATTGATTTTAATATTCTTATGTATTAATTGCATTGCTATAGTTTCCTGTGGCTGCTTTAACAAAGTCCTATAAGCTTGGTTTTTTTTTGTTTTTGTGCTTTTGTGGTAGTGGGGATCGAACTGAGGACCTTGCCCTTACCAGGCAGGTACTGAGCCACTGGGCTCAGCCCAGCTCGGTGTTTTTAAACAACAGAAATTTATTCCCTCAGAGTTCTAGAGGCAAGCAATCTGAAATCTAGATATTGGCAAAACCATTCTTTCTCTGCAGGGCCTGGGAAACAATCCCTCCTGACCCTTCCCAGCTACGGGGTGGTTGCTCACAAGCCTTGCCATTCCATGGCTTGTAGCTCATCAGGCCACTGTCTGCCTCTGTTGTCACATGGCTATCTTCCTTTTGTGCATCTGTGTCTCTTCTTATAGGATGCTAGTCATTGGACTAGGACCACTTATTCCATTTTGATCTCAGCTTACCTAATTATTTGTGCAAAGTCACTGCTTCCAAAAAAGGTCACGTTCTGAGGTTTTGGGTGGACATGAATTTGGGGGGAGCACTATTTGAGTAGACGCCAGAATGTAGTAGTTAACTTAGGAATAACTGTTTTTCTTATGTAAACTTGTATTATGTGTGTGTATTGTGTATGTTAGTATATGTGTGCAGAAACAATGTGATTTATAACATGTATTTGCTAACCCTCTTGGTCTTGGAGGGTCTAGATACACAGGCAATTACAGCCAACCTCTTCTGCCTGTGCACAAGGAATGCCAGGGACCTCAGTGTTGCCCTCATTAGTTTCTGACTGGCATGGGAGATGACACTTACATGAGCTCTCCAGAAGAGGATTTTTGAGTTAAAGGCCCTACCTAAGGCAATGCTAAAGAGAAGGAGAATTTAGGATGCAGAAATTGAAAAATTAAATGCAAATAACCGATTTTTAAAAATCCAAACCTAACTTGATTTGTCAAGGCAGAGCAGCATGACCAGCTTTGTCGTCTCAATACTAAATCATGGTCAGCCATGATTTAGGTGGAGTGACTCTGAGGCATATAACCTAAAGAATAAAGAAAGAGGTGATGCTACAGGGCTCCTAAGAGTTGATACTGTAACTAACACCTTTAGAGTATTCTTGTCTCATTTCTATTAAGTATGCATTGCTTTTTTTTTTTTTAAACAGTTGAGATCATTTCCTTTGGGTAAAGTGGAAGAAAAAAAAGACTTAAGGAAGTTTCCACTGTGGATAGGATCAGCCATCAGCAAACCCTGAGTACTTTTGGAATACGGAATGCTGCCTCCATTCCAAGTCCACATGCACTGTTTCTCAATCCTCAATGCCTTCCTACTAATTGTTAGGAAAAAGACCTGTTATTCCACTAAAATAACTGGGGGTCCCTGTCGGTAGCTGAAGCAAGTCTTTGGGCAGGGGTTGGCCTTTCCTGTGTCCTTGGGGTTGCATCCTGTGGGAACCGTTGTTGCTGAAACCAACCTGAGCTCCACAGTGGGCCCACAGCCACACCAGAGCCTGCAGACACAGCTCTTCTGTGCTCTCCGCACCCCCCAGCATGCTCTCATCTGATGCTGTCCTGCCTCCGTTCACCGAACTCTTGGCCTTGCCCTGGTACCTATAGTCCAGAAACCTTCCACCACAGTATTTACTAGTGAATTGACATCCTCTGTAATGCTATTGCTAGGAAGTCTTTTCTGAAGCCTCAGATTGGATAAATGCCACTTTACTGTACACCTTTCACAAGAGGTGTGATGTTAACTCAGCATTCACTATATTGAATTGGGTGTGTGTTTATTTATCTAGACTACTTTTCTAATTCTCAGTAGACTTTTCCTCAATGCTTTGACCTCAACTGTTAATGATAACAAAAGCCTAATAGTTACTCTTAGAATTAGCATAGGTATGGATTTTTGAGCAAAACCTGGTTTATTTGTCTCAGGATATATCTCAGTCTTGAAAAACTAAAGTTGCTAGTTGACCTCCAGTGACAATAAAGTCTCTGCCCTGGCTACTTGGCAGGAAGGAGCACATTCTCTATTGCTCCATTATTGAGGTCTCAACTACCAGCTGGACCACATCTCCATGTCAGAGATTCTTGAGCTTCTGCAAGGCTGATTGTCACCCCTCCATGATTCCATTATCTTCACAAAGTGTTTTCCTTGCTTATTTGCCTTGTGTCATCTCTGGCAGTTATTCCAAGGAAATCATACTTGAAGGCCCTTAGGAGATTGTAATCAAAGATCTGATGTTTCCACAAGACAAACATAAAACCTAGTGATTCAGGAAGTATGTAAGTCAATTTTTGAATAAGTTGCAAACTAAGTCCTATGCAGAGCAAGGCTAAGTAAATCATCTGTAGAGAAGAATAAGACTAGAACCTGGGAAACCTGTTGAAAGAGGTGCCCTTCTTTTGCATAACTACAGTTGGAACTTTACACTTATGCCAGGCTTGCGTGAAGGTACTAGTTTGTGTTG